AGAGGAAGTTTTTTATGCCTTGCACAGTACAAAAAGTGCTCATAAATCTTCAATGAATCTCTTATTTTAAAAACATTTAAAGTTTTATAATTTTCAAAAATTGGTGCTTTTAGTTCTTACTTTCAGGGAAAATAAAATGCGTAAATATTAAGATTTTTTTCATTTATTTTGAATAGGAAATTCGAGACTTCAATATGCCTTTTGCATGCTTTAGTATTAGTGTTTAAGGAATTTCAATCTGTGAATATCTTCAATAGGGTGAAACTTCTATACGGGAAAAATTTAATGTTGGGAAAAAGCGATAAAAAGTTCATTACGTTCAGAAAACGATGAAAAGTTCCATGAGGGGGGGGGGAGAAAAATAGTAAGTTTAATATAGAGAAAAATAATGCAAAGTTTATACCGGAAGAAACGACCAAAATTCAGTAATAGATTCAGAAAAATCACAATTCAGTATAAAAAGCAAAAAATTTAAGACGTGGTGAAAACGATAAAAAGTTCAATACGGAGAAAAACATGAGAAGTTTCATACGGAGAAAAAATGAGGAAAAGTTAGATACGGGGGAAAAGATGAAAAGTTTCATATGGAGAAAAAATGAGGAAAAGTTAAATACGGGGGAAAAGATGAAAAGTTTCATATGGAGAAATAAATGAAGAAAAGTTAAATTCGGGGGAAAAGATGAAAAGTTTCATATGGAGAAAAAATGAGGAAAAGTTATATACACAAAATTCAATCCTGGAGAAAAGAAGAAAAAAACGAAAAGAAATTCAGTATGTGAAAGGAAAACAAGGAAAAGTTAAATGCGTGTAAAATGATGTGGTTTATTATGGAGAAAAAAAAACAATGGAAAAGTTCAATATGGGAAAAACCTTCAATATGGAGGAAACGACGAAAAAATGGAAAAAAGAATGAAATTTTCAATAAGGGGAAAATATTAATAGTTCATTGTGTAAAAAAACGATGAAAAGTTCAATACTGGATAAACACGACGCAAAATTGAATATGAGAAAACCGACAAAAAATTTAATTTGGGAGGAAACGGCAGAAAATTTAAAAACAAATTAAAGTGCAAGTGGTAGTTGAATGTGGAGAAAAAACCATGAAAAGTTCAATAAAGAGTAAACACGAAGCAATATTCAATGTTGGAAAAATAACATAAAATTTAATATTGAGAAAAACGATAAAAAATTCAATATGCAGAAAAAACGATAGGAAGTTACATATGAGGAAAAAACATTGGAAAGTTGAACTAGAAAGGAAAACGTCGGAAAGTTCAATAAGGCGATAAAACAAAACTAAATTTCATTTTGTGTTCTAATTTGAATAGAAATCAGATTAAACAAGGACCATGAAAAAATATGCAAAAGAGAAAAATTAATACCGATTAATTTTCCACCTACCTTGATTTTTTCGTCAATTTTCTATAATACTCTGCATATTTTACTGTAATTCGCTTAAAAACAATTTCTGGCTAGTATTTTAGTTCAAAACATACTTTCTTATGATTAGTATTATATTTATACTAATAATAAGCAAGCTTATATATTTAATTAAAATCGTAATTATTCTTCAACAATCGTGCTTTGTGTAAAAAAATTTTGTTGGTCTGAAATCGCTACAAAAATTTATTAAATGTTTTTTTTACCTTACATTTTTTCGAATTCCTAATCAATAATAAAATCTATAGAAAGAATTATCTAAATAGAATTTTTTGAACAACACTGTCAAAGATCTACAGACAATTTAACGTACTTCATAACTAGTTCACAAATTCTTGGTATAGTACTACCATTTAGCTAAACAGGACTACAACTTTTGGAAAATTTAAGTTCACTCAAATTTGAAAGATAAATAAATGAAAAATGGTCAAAGTACGTCAAATCTTTAACTGACGTACTTTTCCTGCGAGGAAAATTTTAAAATAATAATAAAAAATAAAGTAGTTGCAAGTGACGCAATAAGGAGACAGATGAATGAAATACTATCACGCAAGTCATTCACATCTCTAGTCTCTTAAGTTATTTCCGTTTAGTGTTAGTTTTCAAGTTAAAAAAATGAAGAACACGTATTAATAATTCATTTAGCATTATTTTTTAATGTCCTAAAGGAAAGTGAAGATATATATTTACTTAAGAAATCTGTGAGAACAATAAAGATTCAAAGTTTCCTAAAGTTTCCAAAGTTTCCTAAGTAATATAAAATAAATTTCTAATTGTTAGAAAAAGAAATCTTGAAAAAAAATTCATTTGCTGTTCATTTATCTCTTTACTCTTTCACGTTATTTCCGTTGTGCTAGTTTTCAAATTAAAGAAAAGTTGGAAAACACAAATTAATAATTTATTTAACATTATTTTCTTAAGTTCCAAAAAAACCGAAAATATGTATTTACATAAAAAATCAGAGAGAACAATAATGATTCAACGATTCTAAAAAGTAATATAAAATAAATTCCTGATTCGTAAAAATAATAATAATAATTTTTTCTTAATAAAAATTTCATTTATCTATTTACTCTTTTGCGTTATTTTCGTTTAGTGTTAGTTTTCATATTAAAGAAAAATCGAAAAACAAACATAAATAGTTTATTTAACATTATTTTTCTAAAGTCCCGCAGGAAACTCAAACTATATATTTACATCAAAAAACAGAGAGAACAATAAATATTCAATGTTTGTAAAAGATAATATCAAACCAATTTCAGAAAGAAAAAATATGGCAAAAATTTATATGTAATTTATTCATGTTTCCACTTTTGACATCATTTCCGTTTGAGTGTTAGTTTTCAAGTTAAAAAGAATAAAAAAAACACAGATTTATTATTTATTTAGCATTATTTTCTAAAGTCTCAAAGGAAACTGAAAATATATGTTTACATCAAAAATATGACAGAACAATTAAGATTCAGCGTTTCTAAAAGCTAATGAAAAATCCCTTTCTGATTCGAATGAAAATAAATTTAATTTTTTTATCAAAAATTATGTCTTATTTTTTGCAAAGCTACTATAATTTGAAATATAATTGATATGATGTTACTTTATCAAGTCTGTTTTTTTAAAATTCACTGCGTTATACAAAATATTCCACACGCTAAAACTTTATCTCACACTTTGTCAAAGACGTGCATGTTGCTTTTTGTGTGTCATATCTTAACTCACAGACGATTTTCTACGTTCATGAACAATCGTTATTAATTTAACAGTATTTTGTTTAAAAGTTTTGTTCAAAACCATCACAGTTCTTTTCCTATCGATTTTCCATTTAGTTCTATGAAATGGGCCAGAAATATCCACAGGAGAAAAAAGGAAAAATTAAAAAGAGAGAAAGGGAGATGACCTCAATAATTTTTGACCAAATGACTGGATTCTTATGTTCAAAATTGCATTTCCTACGCATAGTAAGGAATATCTAAGCTGTACAAGAATGGTTACAGTTACAAAGTCAGAACTCAAAATTTCATTTACATTCAATAATCGTTATAGTGCTTATATATTTGCTAACTTTGAAAGTTAAGGGCTATCAAAATTTTGTTTAATATAGCAGCAGTATTTTAGTTACAAAACAGTTATTATTTTTGAAAAATTGCGCAAAGCTATCAAATTTAATTATGTAGATACTTGAGCTAAATAATCAAATAACGGTTATGAAAATTTTTCGCCACTGAGATGAAAATTGCACGTAATAAAAATGCATGTATCTTACGCACTTGTAAAATTAAATTCCAACTCAATAATTACCAAAAAAATAATACTAATAATAATAACCGATAATTCTCCAGCAAAAATCAAGATTTATAATAATAGGCACTAAAGCAGACAAAGATAAAAACAATTTTGCGTAGATAACTTTAAATTTGTCATAAATAAAATTTAGATAACCACATCGCCAAGCCAAAGGAAGCTGAAATATTTTCCAGCGTCTAGGGAAAACTCTTTCTCCCTAGCGACGATGATAAGAAAAAAAGTTTATTTATGACGAAAACAAAGAATTTCTTTTTCGTTGCCCAACATCAATATTCAAATAAGCAACAACAGATAGAAAAAAATGCTTGAACAGCAGACTATAAAAATTTTTTTTTAAAAAAGTTTAAAAATAGGACGTCGTCTGAGCTTGTGGCTAAGATGAGTTTGAAAAATTCCCTACTGGGATGTTCTGTAATGACCACCCTTAATAGCGAATTCAGAATTTTTGCGGAAAATGAAGTCAAAATCAAAAATGAATGTACATTTTGGGGTCGCAAATTAAATGTGTAAGCGCATCAAAAACGCCATCGAAGGTTAATGAGTTAATCACAAGTGAAAAAGACTTGAATTTGAAAATATAAACCTGTTTGATTGCTGAAAAAAAGGATAAAAAATGACTATTAAAAACACCTCTACGTTTCATTAGGCAATGAAACTTTTTATATGTCTTCCATTAATCCTTCCTCAATAGTTCCTTACAACTTTATTGTAGTCAATAATTATATCTTCGATATTTATAGCAAGATATGGTACTCACGATAAATCATAAGAATTATATCGATATATGGTCCAATACAGCACCAAATATTATTTATCAAATTCCTTAATTGCATAATGATGTCAACTTCAGAATACAATTTTACATTAAATTTAGCGCAATTAAACTAACATAAATTATTTAAAATGTGAAGTGAGATCAGCTTACATCTTTTTCTCACTTCACTTAGTCGTTAGAATTTTCTGAAATCAACTGAAACGATTTTACTCCAAAATGCAACAAAAATAAAATCTAAACTTGTAAATGACGTAGAAAATTAAGAAGACCCAAAAATATCGTAGAAACAAACTTTATTTCAAAGCGTAACTTCCGGCGCATCATATTATAAATCGACAAGCTCCTTTTACAAAACAGAAACCTTCCAGAGGTTTCGGTGCAACGGAAGTTTTGAATGGATGAGTCTGACGTCACGAATTATTTTCCCTGCGCACGTGGTTTCCATAGTAACAAGCATGGCGCCGTATCGGGCATTGCGTCACCGATCACAGCGCCTCTCTCAATAATCGAGTTGCTCCGTAGCTGTGCATCCAGCTCTGGATGATCCTTTCTTTTCTAACGCGGAACGCCCCGTGTTTCCTTCTTCATTTCTAACGCGCGTACGCTCTTGCATTCTCTCTTCAAAAAATAATACTTATTTTGTGTGAAACATGATCGTCTGTGGAAATGAAACACGTTGTGATATAGATCTTACACAATTGCCTCTAGTGCAGGTAAGTTTTTATTTTAATATTTTATGTGTTTTTTAAAATTTTTCTTTTTTATCGCCCCCGCAGCTTGGAACTATTCTGCAACCAACATATGGAATAATCTGCAGTGACCGGGATTTATCCTTTCTCTCCGGAATTTAAAAGAATTTTCTCACGCTGCATTTTAAGTCGGATATTTTAGTCAAATAACTGAAAGTTTAATATTTCTTTTATAATTTTTTTTGCATACATGGTAATATTAGTAATATTTAAAGAAATATTTCTCGTTATATATATTTTAAAATTTAATTTATATTGAGAAAGTGCATGTACTCTTGCGGAAAATTTTTGAAAACTTAGTTTCATCACATTTTAACTTTGTTTATAGTTATATCATTTGAAGTTTTGTAAATTGGCCAAATTATCAATATCAAATTTTAATTGCAAATATATCTATTTGCAATTAAAAATTGATATTTTAGGCAAATGATTATACATATATGCATATACATTTTGGTAGATATTAGTAATATTTAAGGAAATATTTCTTCAATTTTTGAAGCTTTTTACATTTATCTGAATATATATTGATCCAGATATTGTATTAACTTTTGCAGAAATTTTTTTATAAGCATAGTATTATCACTATTTTTTTATAGTAGTTTATATTAACTATATTGCATTTTTATAGGGTATATTTATTAGATGTATTTAGTTTCAAAGTATTGAAATTGAAGTTTCATTTCAAGAGCTAATATCTTAATCTATTTTAAATTTGTGGCATATTAAGCCATGTGGCATGCTTTTAAATTTCTGGAATATTATTGCGGCATGTACTATATTGTATAAAATAAAATGTAGTTTTATAAATTGTTGATATTACCTCTCAGATTTTATCGAATATCGCTATAATCAGCTTTTACGCTTAATTTAAGTGAATAACATTTTTATTATCCTACTTTTATAGTACCATGTTAAGCTATATATTCTATAAAAGTATATCGCAAAGTGTTGTGTAAAATATTAGAATTTGTTTCATATTTAAAATATTCGATTGGGAATTTTCTGAAATTTTTGCAGACTAAATGTTGAAATATATTCAGAGCATTCTAAAATGTTTTATGTATTTAAATGTAAATTTTGTTTCATACATAAAAAATACAAACAGATTTAAAATTTTCAATGCTACGATTTTTTTTTTCCAATTGTGTCCCGATTATTTATGCTACATATGACCTTATTTAAATTCTCCTTCAATATATTAGACAGCAGGTTTATGAATGAACAATAGGTGTTACATATCGTCTGCGTTTATGAATGATATGCTTTTTATTGTGTGAAATTTGATGCTTCCAGAAATAATCGTCTGCAAAAATGTTATGGGATGAAAATCGCTATTTATGAACAGTTTTCCCCAAATTGTATCAGTGAGGACGGGTGCAGTTACGACTTTCGGGGAATTCCGCGCTTGGAAGGATGATTTTGTAAGAAAATAGTTTTCTTGTTTTTAGAAGGTTTTAAGAGGTTCTGAAGAATGCGTCCTCGTTTTGCAATTTATTTCGAAAGGTAAATTCGCCTTCAAGCATTTTTGTATTTTGATAATTTAGAATTATTTAGTGTTAATCTTGAGCTTTGTTAAAAGTAATCTAGTTAAATTTCGTCATATTCTAGTGTTTTTATTTTATATTATCTTATTTCTTTTTAAAAAATTTTTTTAATTGTATTCATGGTTTTCAATGTAACAGTTAAAATTTGTTCTGATTATTTGTATTGCTGATCTGTTCTGTAATACACCTTGGCATTTTTTGTTATATATTCGTTATTAAAGCGAAACCTAAAACTTTCCAAATTTTATGAAAATGTTGTGCAATTTCTACTAAAGAAAATCTGACAATCCAATAATTAATCGGGAAAATGAGTTACCCTTGTTTTTCTTATCTATTTTTTTAAACCTGGTATTTATTATTTTTAGTTAAATTTTTAAAACGCATTTACAGTTTATGCGCAAGCTAATAAACTTACAGAACTATACAAAATTTTCTTTTTATTGTGGTTTTGTTTAAATTTGTCCATCTGTCTGTCACAGAGTTATTTGTTTAATATCAAATGTTTTTATCAGCTATCGTTTGATCAAATGTTTTTATCAGCGTTTAACTTTAAATAGAATTTAAAATTGTTAGATAAATTGAACTGAAACGGTTTAGCACTGAATCTAGTGTCAGAAACTGATGAAAATTGTTTTACTGCTTTATACTATTCAGTGCAGTAATCTAAATTTTACCAGAAAATCACAAAGCTTTAGAAGAGCTCTCTAATTTAAGTAATTACTGGATTAGTATTTAACTACAAGAATAAGGACAATTTTCATTTCGTTATGATTCCATTTGTATATTGAATTTTAATGAATCGAAGGTTGTTGACTCTATTTACTACATAGGGCTTATTAGCTTAATTTTAAAATAGTACCCGAGAGGAGATTAATTTTAAAATGGTAACGGAGAAGATTAATTTTAAAATGGTAACGGAGAAGAGATTAATTTTAAAATGGTAACGGAGAAGAGATTAATTTTGAAATGGTAGCAGAGAAGAGATTAATTTTGAAATGGTAGCAGAGAAGAGATTAATTTCAAAATGGTAGTGGAGAAGAGATTAATTTTAAAATGGTAACTGGAAAGAGATTAATTTTAAAATGGTAACTGGAAAGAGATTAATTTTAAAATAGTAACCCCTCTCGGCTAATTTTGAGAAAATGCAGATTTTTCTTGAGAACTGAAGTCATGAAGCTATTTGATTCAATAGTAATGTAGAACCGTGTAGTAATTAAGATAGTAATTCTTGAGATTAAAACAAATGTCCAGCACTTACAACAATAAAAAACTGCATTTTTTAATTGTTTTAAACTAGTTTAAAGGTTGATAGATTTTTTTTATCGTTGACTTGTCCACTTGATAGACTCGATCTTTGCAGTCTTAAAGGTTGTTCTATTTTGGTTTATTCTGAACTAAAAAGTTACTGCGTTGACGACATTCTATCTTTGTGCTTTGTTTATTTTTTCTCGTATGTAATATTAGTTGTTTGAAAGGGAGATCTGTTATAGTAAATTAAAAATTAAGCGATGTTTTTAAAGTTTGATGATAAGTATAGATAAAGTATAAAAATTTCAGAGAAAAATTGTTTTAAGTATTCAGATTGCAGATTCTAAAAATATAATGATAAAAAAAAATTCTAGTTTGGAAACAAACTTTATAAAATCATAAACTCTTATGCAGCTTTGCTACATTTTTTCCGAATTTAAATTTAAAATCTATTAAAATGGATTAAAACAAATCTAGGCATTTTTTATTGATAAAAAATGTTTCTCTATTGCAACAGTGCTAAATATTAACATTTTTATTATCTCAGACCCGCATAATTTTATATTATATATTTATCTTTTTTCGTTTAAAATTCCCATTCACAATTAGCTTCATTGAATATAATTATAGATCAGCAAATGATCAGTAGCTCGACTTGCTGTGGGTGAAGGCCACGGTGAAGGATCTGGATATCGCGCAATTACCCAGTTCTATAGAATACGGTAACTTAAAAAGAACACCTTGAATTTTAGATTACCTTTTCATCTCTCAGCTGCTATGCTGAATTGTGCGGCATTGCGATATAGATAAATACGCTTGAAAATTCAGTATTTTTCACTAATTATGTTGTTTTTCAATATCAGATTTGATATTTAAATATTTGAAATGGGTAACTATTTGTCTCGCACAAATTTTAGAATCTTTTGATTTAAATGGTTTAAGAATTATATTTTAATTTAAAGGTGCTCAACATACGGCCCGGTTGTCAAATGCCCCTTTTAATGTACAATGTAGGGCTGTCTATTTTCCAAATAAGGATAGAAGAAAAAAAAACTAGCTACAAAATACCTAGTTTAATTGCTGTTCGAAAATTCATACATTGAGACATTAAGATCTTAAAAGTTTACATTTTTCTACATTATTTTGAAAAGATTTCGTTCGTTGTTTCGTGGAAAATATGCAAATTAAAAAAGTATAATATGAAAAAATATTATTTTTCCCATATTGAAAGTTCAAACGCCTGTACTTTAATTTTGTTAAAGTGCTTGAAAAATTTAAAATGTTTTCAGTTTGAAATACTAAACACATACTTTAAATTTTTAGGAATGTTTTTAAATTTAATATTTTTATTACGCTAATTAATAGTTGAAATTTAATGTCTTTTGCATATGTTAAATTCACTGCGGCTCCCCTAGAAAAAACTTTTGAGGCTCTCTTCCTATATAAGCTGAGCACACCCCTGTGTTAATTTCTAGAAATGTAAAAAAATATTTTTTTCTTTTGCGATAACTTTCCATTCTTACGCATTTGAGTTTTAGGCATCAGCTTGCGATTGTATGCCTGCTCTCAGCAATCTGTTTCTATTGAATAACCAAACTATGACACTAAAGGGTTAAATATAGAATCTTAATATTCTACTGGATTTACCTTCAGATAAATGCGTGTTCTAAGAAACCCTAGTGATCTTTGTTGTAATGTTGTGATCCTAATGATCTTTCTAACATCAAACCAAGTTACTAACACCATTACTTTTAGAACCTCTCAAAGTGAGTTAGAATTTTTCGTTGCACCAGGCTGAAAACTGAATTAAAACCCGTTTAATTTATTTTGTGCCTGATATATTTAGCATTTTAAATGCAATTTTATTTCCAATTCGTTAATTTATTTCAGTAATCTAAATTATTTAGTAAGTTTTTATTAGTATTTATTCCATTTAGTATTAGGAGGCTTTAAGTATAGTTACAATATGCAGTTTTGTTTAAAAGAAACTTATCTATTTAGAAACAAGTCGATTAAGCATTTATTTCGATTTATTATTTGATTGAAATATGACTACTTTGAACACTGTTAGCTTAATAAATATAGCAGATTATATTTTTCATGCAATAAGTAATTTTGTAGAGCTGTAGTCTGCAGTGGAAATATCAGACTCCCGGACTAGTCTGAGAA